AGCCCATTCATGGGTTACCAACCCAGATATCTACCAGTCCTTCTTTTCTAGCCACTTTCTACATGTACTTTCCCCTTCTGGACCAGTGAGGTGAAAGAGTACCCGCCATACTCGACATCGCCGACTGTCAAAACGCACACAGCATGACCCTTGCTGTGAGGGGGTGTCGTTGAGCTGTTTAAACTTGTAGGGCGCGAAGATGAGGTCAATCGTGAGATCTTGGCTTTCTCAATCCCACACAACAGCAGAACAGTGAGAATCTATGGCCATTATGCAATTATTGAGGGAAGCAAGGCTTCCTTCTACCGTCACCCTATCAGAACATTTGACTTTACAGAGCTGGAGGGCAGAGATAGGTGGACTGCTTACACCTTTACAAGGAATGTTTATGAGGGGTGGGCGCCGGATCATCTGAAAAGGATCCACTCAGCTATTGATGGAATCCCTTCTGGAGTTAATTATGATGTTCTGTAGTTAGATCTTGGACTCTCATAATCAAATACTCTATACTTTTTGAAGAATGATGGTCAACTAAGTCAGACAAGCTTTGTACCCTCAGCAAAAGCTATACCCAATACTTCCTTCACTCAACAGACATGGGTCTTGAAGCGGCCAAGGAGGCAGAAATAGTGTGTTGATATTGTGTTTTAAGACAAGAATTATTATTATCATTTGAATTACGTGTGGTATGTCAACTTAACTCAGAATATAGAATATCTTTGTATGCCTTTCTGTAACCACGTTACCCCATAAATATCATCATGTACTATTTAGTTAAGTGTTGTCTGGGTCCTTTGCTATGGACTCACTATGAAAATCGTGTGATCGTAAAAGTTCTCCCAGCTCCCCCCACATTGTGTCATTCTCATAGAAGAATATCGATACTGTTAGTACGATATAAACGGAAGACACCACCAGCCAGACCGTGTCATTACAGTATATAAGTTCAAAAATTCCTGGCGAGGTCGAAATTTAGCAAACAAATCAAACTATTCTAACCGCATATAAGGTTCAGTCTTCCCCTGTTGCACTAAATTCAATCAGGATGGCGTAAATCAATTCCCTAGGTATATAAATCATTCTCTGTTATTTACTTGTTAAAGAATACCGAACCCCTCACCCTATACCAGAGCACGATGGACAAACTAGCAAATCCCAAGGTGTCTACAGCCGCCAATGATTTCCGTAGTGATACATTCACTACACCAACTCTAGCTATGCTGGAAGCTATGATGAATGCTACATTTGGCGATGATGTATACCAAGAAGACAGTACGACGATGGAGTTCGAAAATGAAATTGCAAGATTAACCGGAATGGAAGCTGCCCTCTTCACGCTCTCTGGCACCATGGGGAATCAAATCGGGGTTCGGGTTCACCTCGACAAACCCCCGCACTCCGTGCTCTGCGATTACCGAGCCCATGTCTATGCGGAAGAGGGATCCGGATTGGCAAGCTTGTCCCAGGCCATGGTGACGCCGGTCCATCCTGCCAACGGCATCTACATGACCCTTGCCGACGTGAAACGGTGGGTGACTTTGGGTGACGACGTGCACACCGCACCCACAAAAGTCATCAGCCTCGAAGTTACCATTGGCGGCGTGCTTACGCCGATGGAGGAGATTAGAAAGATCTCCGAGTTTGCACACGCCAATGGGATCAAGGTCCATTGTGATGGGGCTCGATTGTGGAATGCTTCGGTGGCCACCGGACACTCGCTAGCCGATTATTGCCAGTACTTTGACAGCGTTTCAATGTGTGTTTCTAAGGGACTTGGGGCGCCGATTGGCGGAGCCCTCGCGAGCACCAAAGCGAATATCAAACATGGGAGATGGCTGCGGAAGCAGCAGGGTGGGGGGGTTCGACAGGCTGGTGTTCTGACGTCTGCTGCGCTCGTGGCCTTGCGAGAAGTGTGGCCGACCATGAAAGAAACGCACCTGAAGACGAAAAAATTGGCGAAGGATCTGGAGGAGTTAGGCGTTGTGCCGCAAATTCCCGTCGATACTAATTTCTACTTCATTGATGCGGGGAAGTCGAAGATTGACATGGGTGTATTGCTGCAGCAATGTCAAAAGTTCAATGTCAAATTGATGGATGAGCGGATTGTGATGCATCATCAGATCAGTGATGAAGCGATCGACAATCTCAAAAGTGCTATTGCGGCAGCGGTGAAAATTACGAAGGCCTTGCCCCCTGGTTATATGTCTAAAGTCGAAGCGGGCGGTTATGCGATCAGTGCAAAGATGAATGAATACAACTGAACTATAAATTTGCTATTTGCAAAAAAGGGCTGTATATAAAATAACAATGCCACCGATGGCGCAGTGTTTCTACATTTTGCTAAGCGATTCTGTGAAGAACTTTTCTGGATCAACCTCAATCTGGGAGTTCGCTATTTCCGCCACTCTAGACATCTTAAAATGCCCCAGTCGCCGACCGAAATCCCTACGCGCTTTGGGTAGGGTTTCTCAAGGCAGCAGCATGTTTATAATCCCCGAAATCATAGTCGACGTCATAGTCTTTGGCATCAGCCTCACCATCGGAAAGCTCAACATCTTGAATGTTTTCTCCTTCGTCCTCCTCTTCAGCCGTGAAGCCGTAATCTTCCTTGCGGATTTTCTTCCACGCAGCAATGGTTTGTTTGCGTGTAAGGATAAGGCAGAGTGACAACTTGGACAGCGAAACGCATCCATCCTGCGTCACCTTGACAGTTTGGCCAATTTATGGAACTGACGGTATCGGTAGCTTTGTCCATCAAAATGATATGTATGAAAAATATCATGGCTGGTTTGTCTACAACATTCCACCCTTTCCCCTAGCTTTTTGAAAAAAAAAAAAAATTGGGCCTTGACACGAGCATCTCCGTTGCGTATGACAGTTGATCGGAATATATATGGATTGCATTTTTACTCTCGTACAGACCAGGCTCTGGATAAAGGCTATAGCTACCTCTGTATCTATAATATACCGATTACTGAAGGAAATTTGAAGGCACAACACTAGACAATTAAGCCGCTTTGCTATAAACAAGAGGAGATATCTATATTTGTTATCTACACAGCAGTATATGGACGAACGAGATGGCTCTATCCAAGGCTTATCCATCTATATGAGACACAATTCAACATATTAGGGTATCAATCGAGCATCAAAATCCCGTCTCATGTCCTATGTTCCCAGAAATATATATGGAATTAAAATCAAGGTCACAGCTGAAATGTAACATCGAGCCACATTTAGATGGGTTCACATAACCACGCAGCAAGCCTTCTCCAATCTGCGAATGATGCGAGGAACAATCTTATTAACCACTTGCTGGAGCTCGTCAGGTCTTTGATCATTTTGCTGGGGTTGGTGGTTAGGATGATGGGGCTGATGCTGATGTGGCGCGTGTTGAGGATGGGTTGCGGGCATATGCGTTGGTCCACCCGTCAGATTGACATAGATTCGTCCAGCATTATCCTCAGTTGCATACTGCAAGCCCAGATTGCGGCAAACTTGCTCCACTCGAGGCTTGATCTTTTGGACATGGTCAACGGAGTGGTTGCCCTTTCCGACAATCCTGTTGGCGCACGGGTGTTACTATCGGCCACGAAGTACAGTACATAACCGTTCAATCTCTTCCGCGCAATCGCGTTGCTGAGCACTCTTGATCCGCGATGTCGACATGCGAACACTTACACGCGGAGATGCGTCTGGCCATGCTGCCGTGCATATTTTATCCTCTCTTCCAAAATATCGTCTGCCTCCTCCACAAACTGGCCATGGAGGTCAATGGTATCAGAATCAACGCGGCCAGGCGCATTATTCTCTCGAAATACGAACTCCGAGGCCTGCTTGTTATATTCCTCCATCTTCCTGCCATGCGCCTTGCCCTTCTCGGACAGTTCTTTCGCCAGCCGACCATCGCCGTTCTCGTATGCATGCCGAGACTATAAAGAGTAATCAGGTTAGCCGAGACGGGCCCCTACTCTCCGCAAATTGATAAGAAAGACCAACCTTTTCGAGACAGGAGGATCTCTGCGCAGCTTCGCGTCGAGCAGCATCGCGCAGACGGTCGTATTCTGCCTCTACATCTGGGCTTTGGTCATGATTAAAGGCTTGTAGCACCGCGCATAGAGTTAGCCGAAATGATATCCAACTATCCTTACTCCGTACATTACATAACATACCTCTGTGGCCTAGATATGCCATTTGATGCGACATGATAGAATAATTGGGTCAAGTCCTGGTGCATTCCAACTTGTCCCGCTGGTTTTGCAAGAGCTGCGTGGGCCGATCGACAAGCCGTCAATCGAAGCAGAGCGGAGCTCAAATTGACCAATCATAGCGATGGGAGTTTTCAGCGATAGGCGCCCCAGAGCTCCAGCATGGGATGAACAAAATCAGGCCATTGTCTTGGGAGGCATAATTCTAGAATGGACTGCGATAAAGCCGGTAGAAAGGAAAATAAATACAATGCGTCCTGGTTCTGAGCGGTGTTTCCGACGAGGATGGTGGTGTTCGCTGTCTTACTAGTGACATTCAAGGGAACGTACTAGGACGAAGAATTTAATTATCAAAGAGCAAACACAAAATAAATAAAATAAAATAAATTCACATATTCTGAGCTTCGAATTCCGATAGCAAGTTATATAGCCTTTTCTTTTCCTCTGGTCCAGCAAATATTGCACTTATCCCTTTCTTGCACATGTCGATTACCATGCCTCGATCCAAGTCAAAACTCTCGGCAGCGATAAGATATTCGTTTGACAAGGGGCTACAGAAGAATCCGACATCGTCCGTCTACCTTGTATTAGCAAGAATAAACGCGATAAAGGTAAGAGAAAAGGCACACCACCAGCAAGACCTCCCATGGGATTATTTTATTTTTAAAAAAACTTACCGAAAGAAGAACTGGACATTCTTGATGGATCCAGTAGCCAAAATGATGATCTGGAAACCCCCCCTGAATCAACTTGCCATATACGTTGCATGAGAGGCAAAGTTCCAATCCAATTTTCCGACGTGAAATTTCATCTTTTATATCATCAGGAACATGGATAACATGGCCAAGCCTATCAGGTTCGTAAGACAGGAGCGTGTTGAGTTCATCAGGAGATGACGAAAATACCGATTCGGCAAAGTGAAGAGTCAATTTGAGACCATGGGCTTTCGCTTTGTCAAAGGCAGGCCTGAAGATGCGAACATCTCCTCTCGTAGGGTTACCGCCAAGTTCCACTCCAACCACGCCTCGACCCTGATATTTGATGGCCAAATCTATCGCTTCAAGAGCGTCTGAAGCGGTTTTTGTTCTATCCACAGAAATTATAAGGTATGTGGGCATCTGCTCACTTCGGTATTCGTCAATCGTATCAAGAACCGTTGATATGTATTTTTCCTTCGAAATTCCTTGCTCTAGGCTCTCTCGTGGAGTCGTGCGTAATTCAAGGTATCGAATGCCATCACGCTCGAAATCCTGCAGGACAGATCTTGTTGAATATCTAAGACTTTCCGAATCGGTACAGAGCTGATGGATCATGTTTGTGAAAACCTGGAAGAACCTGTAGATACCTTCTTAACACATCAAAGGAAAATGCCAGCCAGGGATGGCAGTAATTCAACACGTACGTGTCCAGGGTAAAATCCACCTTGCCTTGAGGCATTGCAATGTAAGGATCCATGATATCCAATTCTGCATTTTTTGCCTTCTTCTGGAGCCAAATTTCTCGCAGGCATTGCCGGGAGATGCTTCCAGTGAGATGAGCATGGAGCTATTTGATGTCGTGTTAGAGAACCACCATTAACGATTGAAATATATAACTAGTCAAATGGAAGATGCTATGTGAATGGTGATGTGGAACCGGATTTAAGGAGCGCAAAAAGGCAGTTGTTAAACCACACTGTGTGCAGAACTAACAGTTGATATTTCCCTCGGCATATGAATAGTATTATGGGAAACATATCGACATATCCTGCATACCAACGTATCTTCCTGCAAGCATAGGCAAAAGGATCAAGCAAGATAAAAGTCAAATACCTCAATCTTGGGTAATGCTTTAGTAAAGGCCAAATCTATGGCTTTCGAGGATACCATTTTTGAATTCAAACGGGCCAATGCGCATTAAGTTTTGTCAAATAGCCTGCACAAGGGAATAACAGGGAGAAGCAGTAATAGTATCAAAAATATTGGAAATTTTCTGAAGCTGGCACCAAAATGGGTGCACCATCCGAGCTCAGTCGCGGAAATATTTATCTATCGCAATTCTGCCACTTTACACACGGCTTCCTTCATGCCACACATGGAATGACGCTAGTGAACGTAGGCTAGTTGCCTTGGACCTTTTTCTTCTTTTGGAACATGTTTGTCTCTTGTTTAATGTTTGTGGACTACCTTTTCTGATATATAATACTCTTGAACATCGGAGTCCCAGGCCAATTGGTAAAAATAGACATGACTATTCAACCCTCTGCCACCTTGCGCTCTATCTATGTATGTAATTCCACGCATCAACTTGTTTGCGGTTAGTTTGTTGCCTTCTATCGCGATTCCCAGTATCATGTCTGCTCGAAACAGCCGCAGATAATTGGTCTAACTGCAGTTGAGGCAGATTTGGCACATTTAGAGCTGGTTTCGTAGGTATTCAAATGGGTCATACCTTTGGGAGAATTAAGAAGGAAAGGATATCCTTTTCGACGTGTCGCGGTCTACTCCATTCTAAGATCTGAACATCCGACTAGAACAAGATTGGTTCTCGATACCCGCGCATATACCCCTCAAATCTGGCTAATCTGGCTATACTGCCCAATGATGGACGCTCACATGTCGCCTCCTTGTTCAGGGAAATTTTTCTGGTGTCCCGTCCACTAACGTTTCTCCTGTTGAAAATGATTCATTTTGTACACATGGTCATGTATGTATGTACAATACATGCACATCGCCGCCGACATTAAATGGATGAGATTTATATATTCTTCGAAACAACGGCATTAGGGACGAAATATGACGGATGACCACTCAACTCCATGTACCAATCCGACTGCTCAACGTGCATAGCTACGCAGTTCTGCATAATGGCAATCTGCAAGTAGTTCACGTCCATGTTAAGTGAGGAAACGTGCGGCTGACCTGATTTGAGAAGTAGCAGTGCAACGAACAATCATCCGTAAATCGTATAACTGCGTGGATTATGCGATTGTCCTGGGACATACGATATTCCAAAATTGTGTCACTCATAGTTCACTATTCTGATTTCCACCTCCGAGAATTAGTCAACACGGAATCAAAAGGCTCTGGTATGTGGTGCCATGCACAAAGTATATATCTTTCAACTTCCGTATCATGACAACGGGGATTATGTTTGCGATATTAACCACGACTGGAACGAGAAGATTCGCGTCACTAGCGGCACACTGGGAACGAAAACCCTTTATTGTCATGTCCACCTGAAATAAAATTGGCATTGATCATACCACATTGATGAAGTAGCAAGACCAACTTTAGACAAGAGAATTGGCAACCTGTTATTCGTGTGTTGCAATGTCCGAAAATTATACAAATCCAGGGCGGGCATGTCCTTGTTTAAAGGCAGTAACCGCTAGCGGCCGGGAAAGGCTGATGAAAACCCAACGAGAGCATGGAAACACAATATTACTTTCGTGAAAGTATATTGCCTCACTTTGCCGGGCATAGTGAGAGGTGCATAGATTGATACGTGGTCTTGAATTTATTCAGTCCGATCAAAAATATCATGATCAATCCATCCCAGCAAATCAAGCATTTTTGGCTGATGTCATTGATGGATTGGAGGTACATCATGCACTTATAACACTAATGAAAAGTTAGTTAGATGTTCACTAAACATTACCATTTTAATACGCCTTCAAACCCCTATTTTCATGGTAAGTTAGCAGAAGGAAATTTCATATGAACAGAGTAATAGCAACCACATGGCCGTTTACAAAATTTCTATGGTTGCATAGGATAAGATATATGCCGAGAGAAGGTGAGAAAGGAAAATGCTCATGTGCATCATGGGGGGGCATTCGCCCATCGTGTCAGCATGAGAGCCAAGGCGACCTACCAATTGACGTTCTCAGATCAACATTATCATAAAATATGTGCTCTTCCATTGGAAGGCGTCTGTTGGTGTAAGTTTTTGTTAATTCCGAAAAATATTACGGAAGCACATTCGTAGATGAAAGGAAATTCCCGAACGAAGCGGAAATGCACATCAGGCACTTGACGCGAACCGGCTAGGACCATGCCAAACTATCGTGTGTCTCTTTGCGATTCATCGAATAAGCCTGCGATAAAGTTGTTGCGAAGGTCATACGTAGTTTTTGCCAGGTGGAGCTCGTTGTAATTGGAGAGAAATTTGGGTAAGATGCATCGATGCCATACGCCCCACATCCATATCAGCTGTTGTCGCGATATTTGCGAGGACAATGACTACCTATAAGTTGTAGGATACTTCTAAAGTCCGCAGGGATGAACCGATACGATGGGAGCTTTATCTCATATCTCCTGATCCGGCATGCTTCCATTTCACGAGGAATTCGGCTAATGACGTCCCAGGTTTGCAGATGTGCTCCTCTCTAGAGCACAGGCGACGAGTGGGGGAAAATTGGTTCTACGAATGAGCACTTCGCAAGGGGCGACGTGGCACATACATCGACGACCTCCCAGCAGTATTCTTGGAGTCCGCTGATATGAGGAATATTGCAACAGTGACAACAAATAGCTGCATTGCGGAGGAAGCTTTCCTCGAAACGGACAGGCTCAGCGCTACATAACCTCGCTGTTCATGATGCCAGACAACGGAATCACAACGACCTTCAGCAAACGTTTCCATATCATTGCCATTGGGGGGGGGGGCCGTAACAATCCTTTTGTACCAAGCTTCTAAAAGGATGGTTGTGCTATCAATCTAGTTGTACCAACACACTCAGGCTTGAGTTCGCAATATGCACCAACAACCCATGGTATATCACGACAGCCCGGGAATGGATGACAAGAACAACCATGCAGTTGAGGAGAAGGGGCACAATTGCTTTATAAGGCAGCTGGAGAACCTGCTGGAACCGGCTTCGAGTCCCACCACTCCATCATGGAAGTCGTTGATTTTTCATCCGTAGTCTCCTCGAACTTCGGCGATCGGAAAACGTGAGAGTGTCCGAGTTTGCGCAGCCACCAAATCACGGGACACCCGAACCCCGTGACCAGACTCCGTAGCCCTGAGATGTCTTAGGGCTGAGGCCACAGGCGCCACATTTGGCTGGAATTTGAGACACGCTGCCTCAGAAGTCAGCAGCGTGGAACAAAAGTAAGGATCAAGCAACGGCCTGGCTCACGTCGTGTGTCGTGGCGCGGGACACCCCGGCTGGACTCCAGGCCTCTACGATTGGTGAGTCATTCCCTCTCATTCGTTGGTAGCCTGCGGCCTTCCTCCGCGAGGACAACCTTTGATACTAGATCGGCCTCAAGGCCACAACGGGAGTCGGGTCGCCGTTTGACTGATCTGGTTTGGTCGAGCTATAGGCTCTATATTTGACGAGCAAAGTTCCGGCCACTCGGTAGTGACCAATGAATGACGACTGTCCTGACTCGCGTACTAACGATAGTGGTATCCTTCGACAGCGGAGGCAATGCGTGGCGATCGTCGAATGATATAACCGAGTGCTTACTTCCAACAGAGCCTCAAGAATCGACATCCTAATATATAAATAACAACTGGTGCTTCTCTTTCCGCGCCCTTCGGTGTCTGTCAAACTTTACTTCCACTTCCGTTATGGGTGGTAACATCGGATATCCAAGTCCCCAAAGAAGTGAAAGCCCAGAGGTGACAGCTGATATTCCGTTTCCCAAAGAAACCGAAATGGCTCAGGACGTGTCATCAGTCACAGTTGAGAGTGCCCGACCGAGATTAGCCGTAAGACGAACGAGGGAACCACCCAAAAATGCTACCGGTCAGATCTATTGCGACCACCCAGACTGCCATGACCATATCCCATACTTCAAGAGACCTTGTGAATGGAAGTATGTAGCACTCTTATTTTCCTGTTGTTGCTATTTCTTGAAAAATACATCCACTAATTTCTTTGATAGCAAGCATATGGACAAACATGACCGCCCATATAAATGCACAAACCCAGATTGTAACAAAATGCTAGGCTTCACATATTCAGGTGGCCTACTCCGTCATCAGCGCGAAGTTCATAAAATGAACAGTCAAGGGAAAAAGCTGCTGTGTCCTTACCCTGACTGTAATCGCAGCTCAGGAAAAGGATTTACCAGACAGGAGAATCTCAAGGAGCATCTTCGTCGCCTTCACAGAGGAGGAGACGGCCGATCTCCCGATGATCCTATTTCTTTGGAAGCCAATGAACCCGAGAACAGCCCCGTGCTATTGCCCCTCCATCCCTCAAAAAGGAAGCGACATACCAGCGAATCTTACTCTTCCTCGGAGGAAGAAGGCTCGAATCCTTTCGATCTCCGTGATGAGATTACTCGCCTTCGGCGAGAAGTTATCAAGAAAGACTCGAGGCTAGATGAACTGGAAAAAGAGCTGAAACAGCTTCGACGACTGATTCAGAACGGTTGAGTGGTGGCGGGAATAGAACACGAAGGCAATAACAGCGAAATAACGAGAGAAAGATATCTACACAACCAGGAAAACCGGCGCGATTTCCTGCCATCGACTATTCCTACTCTCCGTGGACATATAGTTTATATTTCAGTGGACAATTTCCACATTTGGTTACATTTGGTTTTTGTTTAGGCATATTGGCATTTAGCGACGGGTTCAAATTGTATTTCTTATGTTCAAATCATCTTATGGCCTTGCAGCATGTAATTTCATTCTACGACACATTTACATCTGGAGCGTGTGGCGTTTTTCCCTTTTCGTTTCTTAAGAAGTATTGGGGCCTTTATTCTCCTTTTTCACACTTTCTATTGCTGATCATCATCGTTGCATTACCATACCCCTTTTTTAACCTAACGTCTGCCTTGTATGAATCTGTTCATGACATCCTTTCTCTCCCAATTTGCTCAAGCATTTTCCCCACGTCTTTATCGCACCATTTCCTCATCATTTCTGCCTACGCGGCATTTCGTCTTGCCATCCGGGCTCCATGTCGCTTTCCTTCTCACGCCATTCTCTGCTCTTGGCATTAGATAGTATTTGTTTTTCAAATTAGTCATTCATTGGTTCCTATTAGTCATCCAGTGTGGCTGAGGCTTATCGCCATCCCCATACATGCGTACTGGCACTCGTGCGTACCAGACCTGAATTCCTCAACGAGTGTAAAATGCAAAAGGTCGCAACGGAGCCACATCCGTGCAAATCATTCTCGCACTTGCGGTCGAACGACACCAAGAGCCCGTAGTTGAGCCAGCCAATAAGCGATGATGGTACCCAGGAATCGGTCCACCCGGCGCTAAGAGAAGTCAAGCTCATTAATCTGTGAATCGTCTCAGGGATATATTGAGGCCAACAGCGTCCGCGTGGAGAGGATATGCATGAAGTTTTTTAGGTCATTTCCAACACGGCTGAAGAAATCTGTAAGTGGATCCTGCTACCGGCGGGAGCATCATGTGATTGTGAACTCCAACCAATTGGTTGATCCGAGTAGTTTTAGGTGCCTGACTCAAGGGTCCCTGTTACGAGTTTTGCCTGAGCTGGAGCTAAGACTGCCAAGGAATTTCTGGTGGCGTACATATTATTCTTTCGCAGGTGAAGCGCCTTAGGCCATCGTGACCGTTGAATGTCGTAGGCAGGATTGCCGACACGCCCGATGTGGCGTGGAGGAGTGATTGTTGTGCTGAAAAATCAACTAATCTTTTTGCATAATGAGGCGAAAAGGACGCGCTGCGATGGTGGCTTTCATTTTCTCCGGCTGAAGAATGGTTTTTGTGAGTAAGATTCTTGACAAACGGTTGAGGCAAGACTTGCTGCCTAGGAATGCTACACTTTGGAACTCTGGCTGCGTCGGATGGACGCCTGCGTGATCAATCGTTCACCGCTTATGTGGGTCTGATGAATACCCCCAGAGTTATTCATGCGACGTTCATCAAATTCAATCCTATCTCATTGGCACCTGTGTTTCATCACACGGCTAGTTCCTCAACGGTCTTTAGGATTCTTGCATCCTCATACATCCAATACGATATCGCCCGTCAATGAGGCGAGAACTCTTCTCCGGGTTTCTGCGTCAGCGAGAACGGACTTCGTTTTGATGAACACTCTTTTCTGGACAAGTCCACCTTGCCCTTCTGTTGTTGGCCGGAGCTCTTTTCCTTTTGCTGGTTTGGCTGACTGGCTGTGGAAGCTACGAGTCGAGCTACCATCTCCGTTGGCATTCACATGAGGTGTTGAAATGAGTGGGAAATCGTTAAGTGCTATTTTCCTAAACTGAGATGCGAAATTATATCTGTTCGAGCTTCGAAGGCACCCGCGTGCCGGGAACAAAGCACGCGTGTCATGAGGCAACCTCTGGACGCGAATGGTCTGCCATTTCGACTCTAGTGTCGCCAGGTTTGGATCGGTCTGGTTGGGCACTGACGATAAATTTCTGCCTGCGCGACCTCCAAATCGTCATTGAAGAAGACTCAGCAACCACCATGGACTGGCGACGGTCCAAGGGGGCCTAGGGCGCGTCAAAAGCTCTTCTTCCCAACCGTTCACGGGCTTCTCCCGAACGAAAGGCAACTCGCGAGGTCTTGATTTGCATCTTGGAGATTTTGATCCTTGTCGAGTTCCAGTTTCAAATTTCGGTTTGGCATACTTGAAGTTATCGACCGGCAAAGGATTGAGATGTTCAAGCACCCGGGTTCTCCCAAGCCGTTAATACATCTGATCCATGCATTCATTTTGTAGAGGTTTTGACATGCTGTTATTTTCAAAGTTATACTGGTGTCTACTTGACACCATTGGAAATGGCTTTTCGTGCGTTGTGGGTTGAGATCGAAAGTAAATCAACTGTGCAAGCGTCCATAAAGTCTGTAAACGAAACTGACTTCTATCATTTCCTTAGGAGCCATGAGCACCCAAGGTACCCTGAGGAGCCAGTGGCTGGAGTTTGTAGGAGGATAACGTTGGTTTACTAAACTAACTACGCGAGAGCAATACAATATGTTGGGGGGCACGTGATAGGGTAGCCGTAGTACCGCCTAGCACCCCCCCGTGCTACGGCGCCGCCAACGCACTGCCGCCCGGGGCCCCCCTTTGCTCAATTCTTCTAAAAACGCAATAACAATTAATTACAAGATTTGGACTCTGATTTCCTCTTTGAGAATAGATGCCCATACAGCAATAACTGTAAAAAACAGAATAACACAAGCAAAATTCCGTAATCTGCTATACCACTATTATCTTCAACCTTCTTTGTCAATCTCCATTAACCTAATTCTTCTAACAAATTCTTCAAAAGCAGGCCTTGCCAGCAGCTTGATGAGGCTGTCAGCTATATTGACTGTAGAACCAACATGTTACATCATAATTTCATCTTTTTGAATCAAATCACAGAGAATATGATAATTTAATCTCAATATGATGTGATCTTCTTGTTACAGATTCTTTCTTTTTATTAAATCCTATCATTTTTTTATTATCAACTCACAGATGTAAGTATATCTTTACTTTCTCTCTATCAATTCAGCATCATATAACATGTCATTCAATCAAATTACTTCACATACTGCCTCATTTACTGTGATATACTCTGTTTTAGTGATTGATTTTGTAATTGAAATTTATTGTTATAACTGCTATGAGATTGATGTTCTGTTTAATAAAATAATGTAATTTATAATTGATTTATATTGAGAGTCTACTTCTGCTCAATCTGAATTGTTGTATATGATAGAATTAAATCTCTCAACCATCTTCTTCTTGTATAAAATATCATAATTTTTTGTTTTTTTGATATAATGTAGAATGTGTAATGAGCGTACTTCGATTAACAATCTAACACTATTCTAAATACAGATTATAAATTGATTAAGGAAAGAAAGAGAAAATAAATCAAAAGAAAAGATTGTATAAAGAGAATTTTTATAAAAGAAAAATCAGAATGAAAGAATATCAAAAGCCATTTCACAGTGAAATACAGAGTAGAAAAATGTTAAGAGCTACATAGAAGAATTGTTAGAAATTACATGTGAGAGGTGATGACAGTGTGAAGAGTGAATAGTAGAAGATAGTATATAGTGTAGTGGAAGATAATAGTAATAATAATTATAGTAGTAGTATAGTTGAAGTTGTAATTGTAGTTGTAGCTAATCGCTGAAGAGGAAAAGAAAGAGAAAGAAGATGTGCGAAATACATGCATCCATATATATATACATATAGAAATAGTGGTAGCGAGAGTATAATGGAAAGAGGTAAGAATAGACGAAGATATAAACAAAGATAATAATAAGGAAATAATAAACGAGTGCATTACATTACATGAGTGTAGAATGTAAAATAAAAGAACATTAAAAGTTATGTAGAAAAATTGTTAGAGATTACACAAGCACAGAGTATGAAGCAGAAGAATATTGAGAATTATACAGAATCACAATAATAGAAATAAATGAATGTAAAAGAAAAGTTGATTGCATAAATTAATTATTAATGCATGCTAATTCATCAAATTATCCCCTTTTACTGAGGTGAGTGAGGACTCATAAATGTTGAGAGCGGCGGTGTTCTTTAAGAGAAACACATATTTTCAGATTCTTAGATGAGATGATTATATTCTATTCATTTGATGAAGTATTCACAATGGCAGTGATTGATTTTATCATCAAAAATTGCTGTGATTTTCCATTTGAGTTCATTATCTTTTTTTACAATAACAGATAGCTGTCAATCAAAGGTTCTTTATAAAGGGAATGAATTCTCAATCATGAGTCAGAGCAGGTTTATATGGAAAATGTTGTGAATGTCAGACAGAGTGTTGAGTCAATAATTATATATATTTAATACTTTTTTCACTGTATATTTGATATGATAATAATCTAATGTATGCAAGAGGTGATTCATTTTCATATTTTTAAAATTTAATTAAACTTTGTTTTTTACATGATATTGAATTGTAGAACTTTTTTTGATGTTCATTTAATTCTTATAATTTTATTAAATACTGATCATTGAAACTTTTACTCATTTGTGAACTTTCTTTAACTTGCTCATAATGTTCTCTACTGTTTGTATGAGGCTGCAGATGTACACAGTTTCTCAGAAAATTTTAAAAAAATTCAAAATCTTTAAATTGTATCTATATAAAAAAAAAAAAAAATTGAGTTTATGTCTTTTGTAACAGAATCTCAATTGTTAATTACAATCTCAGTGTATAGCAGCAGATCACTTCAGTTGTTTTGTGTGTAATTGCAAAACTTACAAAGAATGTTTTTTACTATTTGTATTATTTTTTTAATAGCTTTATCAGTTTCTGAGTAATATGCTATTAATAACTTTCATTCAATTCTTAGTAATTGGCATATATGAGCTCAGAGTGCACTGAAGAATTAACTGCCTCTATCTAACACAATGAATAAAGACAGATTGTGTATATAATAAAATAAGCTTCTGATGAATGCATCTGCAACTACTTCAGCATCCATCTTGTCACAGAGTTGTAGTATTACATTCTTGTTGAATCAGTTGACAATGATTAGAATGTTTGTAGAACCTCCACTTTCAGGCAAGGAAACTGCAAAATCAATAGCTATATCATATTAAGTTTGCTCAGAGATGAATAGAGACTTCAGCATCTCTTTTCAGCATTTACATCATGCTATCACTGAGCTGCAATGATCACAGTTGTGTACAAATCAGTGTATGTTCTTTAACATATCTGATCAGTAGAATTTTCAGATAATGATGTTGTACATGATTTTATATTTTAAATGCTCAATCATCAGTAAATTATAAATTTTTTGCATTATCTATGTTCATAGAGGTTCTGAATCAGAGACTCATCATCTATTTTAAAAGTGTAAGCAGTTGTTATTATCAATCAAATATGCTGAGATATCTGTTCTTAAATATACATCTGCAGAAAATCAAGATGTTTTACTTTGTATAACTTTAGTAGTTTATTGTCAGAATTTATCTGCTTCTGCTATTAATCTTCATTGTTCTTTGAGTGAGAGCTCATGAGCTCAGAGTTGATTGATATATATATGAGATTTGTCTAATTATGTAGAATTATCTATAATTGTGGAGTTGATTAACTGATGCTCCCAGTGTTTCCATCTGTCATTCAAATCATCAGATGGTATATCTTGTTTTCAGTGAAACAAAGCATTCATAAAAATGTTCTCTACTTCAGATCAATAATAAATTGTGAATGAAAAACAATTAAAAAATAATGATTAATATATATGCCTTTCAGTGAGTTTATAAATGATTGTGATGTACTCTAGATTTTTATAATCAGTAACAATCTCAAATCTCTCAACACTTATAAATTCAAACTCTCATTTTTAAAACATTGTATGATTGCTAAAAGCTTCTTGTTGTAGATCTTATAATTGCATTCAGTAAATGACATTTTTTTTTAAATAAAAATATAAGATTATAAAACATTTTGTTTATTATATTACATCAATGTCTCATCTATTACATAATCTGAAGTGTCTGTTTCAAGAATTATATGCTTATCTGAATTGAATGATTGTAGCATTGAATTGTTTATAAACATACACTTCATCTTTTTGAATGCTGCGTTTGTTTCATCCATCCATTGAAATACGGCATCTTTTTAGATCAAATTCATCAGTGATCGTACAATATTAGAGAAGTTCTTGATGAACTTCCAATAGAAGTTAATGAATTGTAGAAAGCTTCTAACTTCTTTTACTGAGATTGATGTCTTTCAATTGAGAATTACTTCCACCTTCTTAGAATTCATACATACATCTTTTTCAGCTTCGATGATGAATTCTAGATAGATTGTAGATTTAATTTCAAAGTCATATTTATCAATGTCTATCTGCAGTTCAGCTTTTCATAGACAGTCAAGCATTTGTTGTATGTGCTTGCAATGATTAGTGAGTAATTCATCAGTGAGGATCAGAATATCATTCATGTACATTGAAGTAATCTTTTTGAACAGATTTCATAGAGCTTAGTTAATGTATTTCTGAAATGTATTTGAAGCATTCATCAATTCAAAGAGAGTCAGTGTTCATTTGTATAATTTATAATATATATGAAAGGAGTTAGCCATTCATCACCTTCATTAATTCTTATCTAATAGAAGGCTGTAGAGGTGTCAAGCTTTGTAAATCATTTTGCTTTTTCTATTCGTTCAAATATTTCATTGATAAGTGGAAGAGAGTATCAGTTCTTTCATATAATTTTGTTAAATTCTCAATAATTAACACAGAATTGTAAGCCTTTTTCTAATTTTTTTTTACAAATAATACAAATGATGTAGTGAGTGAGTTGCTAATATGAATGAAATCTTTATTCAATAATTCATTGAATGTTTTTCATAGAATGAAGAGCTCATTGTGTGATATATTGTAGAGAGAATTTTAAAGTGATTGTGAGTTCTTATCATTTTTATTAATGAGTTTGATTATATGATCTATACTGCAT